ATGGAAACTCCAGCCCCACACTGTCATGGTGATGCCGTGCTGGGATCTCCATGGAAACTGGCCGCAGGGGCTGCTGAGAAATGAAGTCTAGCTGCCAGCTGGATCTACCGTTTTGCCCACCCCTGTTACAGGGGCAATGCGAGTTCAAATGATGGCTTTGGTCCAGCTGCTGCTGGACAAGCGACCACCTGGCTTACACCCAGTACAGACTTTCTCCACAGCCTCATGACTTTGTTGCTGGAATATGAACTCTCCCCTTCACTCTTGTAAGGCATCCTGCCAGAACGGAAAGAGCTGTGTATATCTAGCATCGGTTCTGCAGAGAGACAAACCCCGTCCCCAGACCTATCCCGCTAAAGCCTTTCACAAGCACTCAAACTTACCAGGAGCCTCATCCCTTAGAAATAAAATTAATCTTGATACAAAAATTTGGTAACGGGCTCTCCACGCTACATTAGCCATTCTTCTCAACAAGTTTTGCCTGTTTAAATGGGCTCATCATCGTCTACTTCATTATTGTGTAATAAAATCCCATTGGCTCCAGTCTTCCCAGAGATAATGGCTGATGGTCCCATATTAGCCCTTGCAGCCGATAATCATGTTGCATCCAAGACCTGCAGTCTGCACTACGCTTCTAAATCCCAACTCCAGGCATTAATGGGTTAATTATACCATTGTACGGCATCTGTCCTGCTGACAAGTGGAAGTACAGATCACACAGGTCATCTGCTCAAAAATTAATGTTTTTCTTTAAATGGGTGATATTGTGCCTGAAACCTACAGGCAAAGCTTTTAGAGCCAAGTGCCACAGCCGCATGTAGCTTTACTAAAAAGCGATTAGATTCGGTAATCTCAGACCAGCCTCCAAGGTAGCACGGCGATTAGCAGAGTGTTGGCCAGGCAGAGTTAGCTAGCAGCTTGCAGAGACCTTGGCAAGCGCTTGAAACAGATGAAACTGCGGCCATCGCATTTGGAACGAGCATTTACTCCAAAAATACTGGGGCTGCAAAGGCGAGTGTGCTGGAGCACGGCTGTCCTTGTGCATCCAAACTTTCAGCTGTCGCACACAAAGTCCTTGTTCAGTTTTGCATGCAGTGAGTATGACCCCTAATGGCGGAAACATGTCTTCACCTGTGCACACCCCAGAGATTTGCTTTTTGCTTCTCAAGTTGTGATTCGGGTTGACGCACAGAACTACAGCTGTGCTCCACTGCTAAGAATTCACTCCCGCGCTCCTCTCTCCTGCCATCAAGCAGTAAATTAATCAATCAGCCTAAGCCATTTCGGAGGGGGGGCATCAACCAATCTCTACGGAAGAAGCATGAGCATTCATTCGTTGCTAGTTAATGCCTTCTGATTTCCTTGTAAATAGAGGTGCAAAAATGAAAAGGCAAATCCCAGATATATTTGAATCTATGTCTGTGGTTTAAAAAAGCTGCATTTCTTTCAAGTAGAGACAGTCAGGCTGAAGCAAAATGTCAACTCTGGCTACCATGAATTATCACTGAGGAAGAGTTGTAGAGAGCAGATAAAAAACATTTTTCTAGATTGGAATGAGTTGTGTCAGAAAGATCTGCTAGATCTCGTGCGTCTTCAGTCTTTTTTGATACCCCGTGAACATTTTATTCATATATATTTATATATGTATATCAGTTATGTTCAACTGATACCTATAGATAGATACGCATCAGGGAACTTGCATTCATTGTTCTTTGGGGCTTTATCAGTGAATTTGCCATTTTTAAACAGAGAACACCAGGATCCCTGATCATCGACACCTGTTTACAGAAAAATGATCGGTTTGCAAATGCTTTCAACCTTCTTTTAAACTTGGTTACATAATGCTGAAAAAATGATTTTGATGTGAATTCAACACATGAAATTCTTAAACAATGAAGGACTACACAAAAAGTTTCATCTTCCACTGATATATTTAATGGTTTTTGCTCACGTCTTTTGAGCCAAAAAAAATCTAAGACCATAGTGCTGACACCAAAGATCCATTCCTGAGACAGAAACCCTAAATCTGTCTTGACTAAGTGAAGCGGAGGCATTTAAGCTGGGTTTCGCCAATGCAGGCTAGCCAAAGCCAACTCAACCTTGCGCTTCTTCCTCGTGCAGGTGAAGACAAGCACCGTTACCTCAATTTTAGCGTGTCTGTCATTCTGCATTTACAAATGGGAAAAGGATCAATTTAGCTCAAGCTGGCTAAACCTGACAGGTTTTCTGAGTCAAGACAGGCCCACTGATTTTAACAGTAGCCGACAGGCCTCCGTGGCTTACTGATTTTCCTAAATATCATGTCAAAGATCCTGATGGATTTCATTTTGAGCATGATGTCTGAAAAGTACAGGTCCTTAGCTAAAAAGTGCAATCCATAGTTCTCACAAAAGGCCTATTAAAATACAGACCTGTTTAACTTACTTTCATTTTGCACTGCAATGGTGGTTAATTTGCTCACACACCCCGCTCTGCGAGAGGAAAATGTGGAAAGAGGTGTTCCAGAAACACTTATATAATGGATAAGCTCAGGTAATCAAATATTCTTTTCTTATCACAATAGTTGCACCACGGAGAACATTTGTAAAGTACTTTGAAGTTATTTGTATTAATATTAATAAATAGAAACCGAGGAGAAAAAGCTTTCAAATCATTTTCATAGCTATACATGCTTTGGTTGTCTTTCAGGTTCATTTGATTGCTTTTAGGAAGTAAAGCAGTCCCTCCTGCAAGAACTTAATCCCTATGACTTACCTTTCTCACATCTGAGCTCTTTGGTTCTGTTGTCCAAGTTATAATTCGCGATACAGCAAGTCTGGTCTCACTGGAGTTCACAAAGTCTGTTGGGTCCATCTGTCTGGCCAAGGACTCAATATACTTCAGGATTGCAACTTTTACCTAAGAAATGCAAAGAGGTACTTCAGCCGTCATCGGCGAGATGGCAGAAGATGGAACCATCCTGTGCCAGGCAGATTCCACGGCATTAAACCTGAAAGCTCATCTCTACTCTACATGGATCATTATTAAAAAGAAGTATGAATTAGAGCCCACAGCTCACTGAACAGGCCCAAATCAGCATTCTGCCTGTTTGTGACTAATGGAGACAAAGCGGCCCCCAGAACATCCATTAGAAAAGTACCAAGACCCATGACAGTCATAAGGATGAAAGCTAAATGGTTCTGTATGAAGTACTACAAAGAGCCCGCAGAACTTCACAGAGGAACCTTTCTACATGCATTTTTGAACTGCTCAACAGAAATTTTGCATACAGGATACACTTTAATCCTAAAGGATGGCATGAGACACCTATGCAAGAGAGCTCTTAAAAATCTGTATGTGCATATAAAACAGTATTTTGTTCACCTGTTCCAAACCACATCATAAAATTTCCCCTGTCCAGAATACCTGTACCACAGCCATGTCTCATACATGGTAGCATTGCCCCACTGGTGTAAAAGCTTTGGATGTGGGTCTTAAACTAGATTTTTAAAGTCCAAAGGCTTGGGTGCCCAGAAGCCTGAGATGTCTCCTTGCAGGAAGTGGTGACAACAGTGTGCTCTCATCTGAAACCCTGGCTGCTTTTTAAATTAAAATGCCATGGGATATGAAACAAGATCCCAACAATCGTGCTTCCTACCATGCTACACATGCATGATGGGAGGCATCATTGTGGGATCAAGCAGATTCCCATTGTGTCATACTGTCAGGGAGTGGGGAGCCCAGGATCGTGATCACAGGCTCCTCTCGCACCAGCAAGTAGACAGCTTGATTCCCTGAGCTGCCTAGTAGGGTGTGCTCCCCCAGCTCGGATCAGCCGACCAGACTCCCCACATCTGCAGCACAAGTGCCTTGTAGGCTTCCAGTGTGCTCCAGAGCCTGGGAGCACTGGCCACACATTCATATAAGTTTAACTCTGTGGCCTATTACTGGCTGTATGAAGCCATTAACTGAATGAACGTGTGGTCATTCAGTGTAGCATCTGTAGCATCTGTCAGGGGCCCTTATATATACTGCATGCCACTGAAAAACACGGTGTACAACTCTTAGAGCTTCTGACGTTCACAAGCTTGCTTAAAACAATTCTTACACACCACAGTTGGGCCAAGCGTCTCTTTTGGGTGAACTCTGGTAGCAAACTAAAAGCATACACCTCAGTTTAGTATTTCTACTGCAGACGTTACTTCCCTCCCTGGTAAAGAGACCAGTTCACATTATGTGTGGAGCAAACAAGATCCACCTGTCAGGAAAGCTAGCAACAAGCACACTGTTTTGCTCAAAACACATGCTGGGATGAAGGGAGGACTACATTCCTACGCACAATTATGGAAAGTACCTTCAGTTTACTTGGGGCCTTAGGCACTTTCCCAAGCACACTCTTAATGGGTTAAGAGCAGAAGTCCACTTTGCCCAAAGTGACTTAGGAGCCCATGTCCCACGGCCTTCCAGTGGGACAACCGTAAGTGTATCTCAGTCTAGAGATGTAGTTCTTGCCTAGAGACAGACAGGCATATGGCTTGATTCCCAAAAGTGCCTCCCACCATTAAATTCGAGGCATTTTTGAAAATCCCAGGTCAAAGGTTTTCATCACTTACCTGACCTTAGAAATCTGGTTCCAAGTATTAACAAAAGTCACTGGGCAAAATGAAATTTAAGCTCCTGAGTTACTTGGGCTTATTGGTAAATGTTGCCTCCTATTAATGAAGGTGTTTCAAGGACAGTGAAAAATGATAACGGTCATTTCTTATACAATATTATAAGAAAGGCAAGGATTTCTTAGGGTGATATCTTGCATTCAAAAGCTTGTCTATCTTTATCCCAACCGCAGATCTGGTCTAATAAAAGATGTCACCCTAAGAAATCTTTGTCTTCTA